GGGGGGGGGTTAATTTCGGTCGGGCGGTCGCGGGGAGACTGCTCACGGCTCGGGGACTGCTCGTGGCTCAGGACGGGCTGGGCATTGGTCGGTGGGTGGTGAGCAATTGCCTTGTGCCTCATTCGTTTTGTATATTCTGTATATTCTGTTATCATTCTCATTATTACTATTATTATTATTTTCTCTTATTAAACTGTCTTTATCTCAGCCCTCGGCTCTAACCTTTTATTTTCTTTCCGATTCTCTCCCCCATCCCACTGAGGGAGGGGGGGGAGTGAGCGAGCGGCTGCGTGGTGCTGAGTTGCCAGCCGGGTTAAACCACGACACTCACATCGGCTCTTTAGGTTCAAGTGAACTGTCTAGATACGAAGCTGTGCAATGGGTGAAAAAAACCAGTCCACCTTACTTGGAAAACAGTAAGATCTCTTCTGACAGGGCCTCAAAAGAAGCCGTAGTTAAAGAAACATCTCATTGTATGTGGATCTACAGCCATCATATATATAGGCAGGAACTGAGGAAAGAGATTTTTGACAGTGCAAAGAAGTTAAATCTGACTGGCTTCTGCCTAACGGGGAAACCTGGTGTGATCTGTGTGGAGGGACTCCGAGAAAACTGTCAAGAGTTTTGGCATGCTGTTAGGTATCCCAGCTGGAAGCATATTTCATGCAAGCGTGTGGCGAATGGAGAAAAGGAGGGAAAAATCGATAATTGTCTCTTCCCTGCTTTTGAAGACCTACAGTTTCAGGCACATGGAGATTATGGCCTGAGGAACAACTATCACATGGATCTTGGCCAGTTCCTAGAACTCCTGAGATAACATCAAAGTGGGCATATTTTTTGGATTTTATTTGGTGTCAAAGGCAAACTTTGAGAGAATGAGAGAAACTGCATAGGGAGTTCTGATTTTGGACAGCAAGAGATGATGCTAACATTGAAATATTGTACCTTATAGCTACTGTGAAAATGGAAACTTCAACATAGGAGAACTGTTGTTCAAGGAGTTAATATTAGCTTCTATTCTGAATTTTCAGAGGCATTTACTTATTTTCTGAGACCCTAAAAGAGGCATTTGTCACTATGAGCCACACCTCAAAGTGCTTGCAAGGCGATAAACATCCCACGCTGTAGCATCCTGAATTACACGCTTCTGTCTCCTCATCTGTACTGCGCCGCGTGTTACTAAGCTGTGGTAACTTCTACATACAGTTGTGGGATACCAAGTGGCTGCAGTCGCAGATTCATGCAGTTTCCAGTACAAAAGCACACCCCAGCTCAAGGAAATCGCACCCCTACGTTCATGGATTGGCGCATGCAGTGTCTTTTACTACTCCACGAAGCATCAGCTCTCGCTTCATTCAACTAATCCATGAAATGCAAAGGCTTGTGTCCAACCACAGAGCCAAGTTTTGCTTTAAAATAATGGGTGGGGAGCGGGGAGGAGAAAGAAGCCCGCATGACCCATCCCTTGTCTGCTTTGAGTAGCACCCGTATTGCCAACACCACCATTTTTGCCGTCCTCTTCCTATCATTGCATTACGGTCTGGTTATGTAAAGAGCAATTTTTCAGCTCCTCGACTCACAGTGTTTTACATTTACATTGTTAGGCCAGGCACCTTGGAAATGAGAATGAGTAAAATGAGACAAAGTTTAGGGTTCTTTTCTTTTTTCCTACGTTACATAAGGAAATACATGTAAAAGATATAAAAATGAAAAAACTATAGAGTATATATTAAATAAAAATACATATAACTTTACCCATCTTTTCTATGTCAGATCAGTACTGAGAGACAATTTTCCAGTAGCTTGTGACAGGAAATGATATTAATGTCTCATTAGGCAGCACCTTCCTACAGACTAGTGTGCTGAGTAGGTATTTAGATAGCGAGTTGCAATTCAGTCTTCCAATTTATAATGGATTATCATAGTTAAACGCCATCAATATAATATCATGGAATCATAGAAGAGTTTGGGTTGGAAGGGACCTTATGTCGACCAAGAATGCTACTGCAAAGTCCCCGGTGGCGGTGCCTTAGAGAACCACCAGCTTACCGCCTTCTGCTTCGTCATTGAGCGCCGTAATGTGAAAATTGGTACCAGGCAATTAAAGCAGACTTACCGTTGAGCTGTAGAGGTTCGGCCGTTTGAATCTAAAAGCAAAGCCACTTTGGTTGAGGGGCTGGGCCCTGAAGACCTGAGGTCGAGACCTGCACAGTCTGACCGGGCAGCCGCTCCGGGGCTCAGCTGGCCTCACGGTGCTTTTCTTATCACAGAATCACAGAATCGTAAGGTTTGGAAGGGACCTCGGGAGGTCATCCAGTCCAACCCCCCCTGCTAAAGCAGGTTCTCCTAGAGCATGTTACACAGGACTTCATCCAGGCAGGCTTTGAATATCTCCAGAGAAGGAGACTCCACAACCCCCCTGGGCAGCCTGTTCCAGTGCTCCGTCACCCTCACAGTAAAGAAGCTTTTCCTCATATTCAACTGAAACCTCTTATGTTTCAGTTTGCACCCGTTGCCCCTAGTCCTGTCGCTGGACACCACTGAGAAGAGTCTGGCTCCATCCTCTTGACTTCCACCCTTAAGATATTTGTACATATTGATGAGGTCCCCTCTCAGTCTTCTCTTCTTCAGGCTGAACAAGCCCAACTCTCTCAGCCTTTCCTCGTAGGGGAGGTGCTCCAGTCCCTTTATCATCCTTGTTGCTCTCCTCTGGACTCTTTCTAGGAGTTCCTCATCTTTCTTGAGCTGGGGAGCCCAGAACTGGACACAGTACTCCAGGTGGGGTCTCCCCAGGGCAGAGTAGAGGGGGAGGATAACCTCCCTCGACCTGCTGGCCACACTCCTCTTAATGCACCCCAGGATACCATTGGCCTTCTTGGCAACCAGGGCACATTGCTGGCTCATGGTCAGCTTGTCGTCCACCAGGACTCCCAGATCCCTCTCAGCAGAGCTGCTTTAAAGACTCTGTTTCAGTAACTCAGCTGACGACTACAAAAATAACAGATACTACTTTATCTCAATGAAACGCAAGGACGGGCTTTAATGTTCCTTTCATAATAGCAATATATTGAAATACAGGGGATGGCAGTATTTCTGGTTGCTCAGAATGATGATTAACATATATTCCTTCACTGTGGTAACTATGTTGTACGTACAATCATCACTTTGGCCAAAAGCACAGTGAAAGGCACAAAACGTTTACAGGCTCCCATTATGCAGTGAGGGAAAAAGTGCCTCTCCTCTTCATGAATCCAAGACCTGCAGTCGGTCGCAGTGGGGGCAGAGCTGAGGGGCTGGATAAATAAAATTCATTTTTGGTTTTCCAAAGATGCTTCTGTAACACGATACCAGAAAAAAAAAAAATATGCTCAAGTACGCTTTGTTTCCAGAACTGGCCGGAAAGTGTACTGCATTTTTCTTGGAGTGGTAATTCTGTAACAACTAATCATTCTTTGGGTTTTTTTTAGAGCATTGATGTATGAGAGCGGATTCCACAGGGTGATCACTCAGAAGCAATAAAACAATTTGCAATCAGTCCTGTTGGGAAGTTGCCAAACGATAAACTTTTTCCTTTAAAGTAGCAAACCAAACCGGTTTAGAAATAGGCCTTGAGATTTCAGCCAGAGGGAAATGGGGAAGGCAATGCTGGCATAGGTCAGAAAGTCTGCGCAGGAGGATGGTCCAACAATTTGGAGTTAGAGCTGTCTAAAGCTTTATTCTGAGCCCAAGATTTGTTCTTTTTTTTTTTTTTTTTTTTTTTAAAGGAGGAAACTGCTGATAGTACAATCCAGTCATGCATCTTCCTAAGGAAAGCCATGGACTTGTGACTTTTGCTTCTGGAAATGCTAATTACGAATCCAGAATAATACAGGTCATGAGCCCTGGCTGCTTCCACTGCAGTTTGCAGAGGGAATCACTTTTTTTTGGAGAAGAAAGAATAAGGGTCACTGCCAGGCATCACTTTTGATAACTGGTTGACAGGTGAGAAAGGGTAAAAAAAAGTAAGATCTCTTGAGCTGAAATCAGCGTGCAAATGCACATACTCAGCGTGCTGAATTATCAGTGGTGGTGTAAAAACTGTTTTAAAGACCACACTAACGAAACTGAGCATTGCAATAGTAGCAAGTGAGGGAAATATGCAGTAAATATCAAAGAATTAATGAAACGTGTCTGTTCCCCCCATAATGATACACTCTCTTTCCCCATAATAACTACTCACCTAGTAGACCTCAGCTAGGTGATTTGGAAGTTTGTTACAAAGAATAATACTTTATCGCATATGATGTGTGTTTAAAAACACATTGGTCTCAAGTACTAGAGGAATTCATTGGGTTTCATATATTAAGAACCTACTAATAGCCAGATGGCTGATGCTTGTAAGAAAATACTTAGTCAAAGAGACGTCCATTCATAGCATTTTGATACTCCCTTTCTGCTAAGAGCATGGAGTCCAAGCACTTCCATGAACTCTAGGCCAAATTACGGCATTATCAAAACCAGCAGTTACCTTGCTGGGGGAATGAAACCTTTAATCATTTACAGGGCTTCAGCTCAGCTCAGTAACATTACTCTAATTACATGCGAACAAAAGGTTCTGCAGGTTCAGTTCTTGTTAGAAAATCTTCATTACTCCTCACAGGAGTGACCGATAAAGCTTTTCTGGGGAGGAAAATATCCTGAACTTGCTAGTCTTTGAAGTGGATTTTGATTTTTTATTATTATTTTTAAATAATAGCGTGACAATTTATGCAAGCTACATTGTGACCTGTAATGGATTAACAGTCACCATAGGTATTTCTTAATTTTCCATGGTGCCAATTTGTCTGCTTAAGTTCTCACTGACATTTGTGACAAAACTCTCAACTCAAGGTACAACCCCTTGTTTTGACAACAAAAAGATCCGTCGAACTACAGCATAGGCTATCTCAAGTAAAATAATAACAAAAAAACCTCAAAAACCACAAATGTATTTCTCAGATTAATTTTTATTTTCTCATGTATAATTAATATGATTTCTGAATCTGAGTTTCTAACCACATATTACAATTTAGAAAAGGTTTCCTGCATCTTAAAAAATCAGCTATTCTTAGGCTTCCTAGGCAGAAGTGTTCTGAATATTTTAATGCTTTTTAACTGCTGCTAGTTTGTTCATTCTTCATTAAATATTTACAGTTTCACTTTCATGGCTTCTTCAGGCCAGGTGTAGGAGTCAGCCACAAAGCTGTTATAATCAGTACTGTAAACCTGAGAGCGGATGAAGGCTTCTAGGTCCTCGGGCTGGGGATAGATGGAGGCAGTGTTATTCCTGTAGGCTTCTTCTGCGATCTGGAAAGATGCATTAAAATCCTAATTAGTCCTGATAAACTATTTGAGTACATTTAACAGGATTTAAAAGCAGGAATTAGTTCAAAATCAAGATAAAACTTCATCTTCTCCAGTGCTGACAGTCACCCGTACTCACACTGGATCCGGGCTAGCAGGCAGCAAATAAGACCGGGAACAGGATGAGGTTTGCATTTAAGTGAGCCTGACTCGTGCTGCTTTTGAAGGGGATTACGTGTCTTTGCTTTTACAAATGCAGTGCTGCTCCGTGTCCAATAATATCTTAGCTTTTATTGCGCAGCGGTGGATAAAATATTCTGCAAACCTCACGCACTGAGATACAGTTTCTGCCCTTCCGTTGTCAGATTACCCTGGTTTACCGTCTTCTCCAAAGCACTGCAAGGAAAGTGTGATTTGTTCAAAGCTCCACGCTCCCTGCGTCTTACAGAAATTTGTTATTTATCATAGTTTGATAATATATTTCTTAAAGGTAAACTCATGATAAAAAACTAGTCCTACACTGTGCACAGGTTTAATTCTAGGGATGGTTGGGGGAAAACACAAATATTTGCTTGCTTTTTCCTCACCCAGACCATACCTAGGTGAATCAATTATGCATCACAACCATAACTGCAATAAAAATGCAGTTTAGAAGGGGTCGGAGCCCACTCAGCCCATCAAAGCAGCCTCACGTCTGCAGAACACCTGCTTGAGAGATGTGTAGCTTTTGACTGAACATTCATCAGCGAAACAACAGAAGTTTGACATTTGACAGACTGGTTTTACGCAGCAGCTCTCTTTGGAAATATTTCCTTCAGACTGCATTTGGCAAACAGAGAAATGCTCCTGCATGGGATCAAAGGGAGATGGTCTCCCTCCTGCTCCCCTTAGCTCTCCCTTTAAAACATGAATGTTTCAGCTTGGTGAGAAGCTGAGGCCCTAAGTGGAAAAGTTACTGCATTTAGGCTTCCTTTCTAGGATTAATCTGAAGCCCAACCTGATTTGACTGAGAAGGACTTCGGTTGTTTATGTAAGAGTTCATCTTCAGGTCTGTGTGCATAATTATATTGGGTGAATGAGGCCTGAATTTATACCCCACATTTGGTATTCCAAAAAATTTTGAGAGCATTCCTCCCCTGGAAAAGGCAGAGGCCATTGCTAAACCTCTTGGGCTTTACGAGCCAGAACAAGGTATTTGCAGGACTGAAGTTTCAACAGAGAACAGGCAGAAAGAATTGTTTGGTAACAGTTTCCATTTTTTTTTTTTTTTTAATTTTATGCAACACACATGCAAGTAGAGGAGGAGTTTCCATGACTGTGTGTCTGCCAAACGCACAGGCGGTTTGCTTTCTCCTGAGCAATCTAGGTAACATTTTGACATCTGCAGAACAGAGTTATTACTTGCCTAAGACAACGTGAATTGCAAGACGGACTTTCTTTTATTTTTTAATATACAGAATGAGTGACGCTAGGGGAACTGCTTCATGCATGAGGGCTCCTTGTTACTCTTCCAAAAGAATATGCAATAAGTGGAATTATTCACAGTAAGAGGACCAAGAGAGAAAACAACAACTGGAGCAAAAACGGTCAGAGGAGACCAGCAAAATAACCTCCTAAAAATGCTGGGATTAAAAAAAAAAAAAAGCCCTCAAAAACCAGAATAAGGGCGGGACTGGGGTAAATACATTATTTGAAAGCTTCCTCTTCTTCCCTCCAGGGCAGCCAGATTTCTTGGAAAACTGTGGGGTTAGGTCTGATACTGAAAATCTATCTGCATCAACTCTGTATTTGCCAGTAAAAACCAACCACCTGAACAACCTTTGACCTAAACCTGAGCCATAAACCAAAAAGCAACCCCTGTAGTTGCTTATTTTGATAGGGCAGAGTAAGGGTGGGAACAAAAGGGAATAATGCCTGGACTCAGGGTGACACTTCCTCTCTTGACAGGCAACTGATAATCATGAAGGGCCCAAAAGCCTTCAGCTGTGCAGCTCGCATGGCTGTAAGCCTGAGGACCTGGTCCTAACCCCACCGGTTTGTACAGTTTGGGCTCTACAGACATAAACACTTGCTATAGTTCTGTATCTTTCCTTCCTGTATTTGCATTAAATTTACATTTATGAATCTAAATTTAGTTTTGAAACTGCTACTTGTCCAAGATTGATTGACGTAAACCAACTTCAGCTTGTGTGGCGGTGTGTTAGGAGATCAAACCGAGTGCTCAATGATGTAGAGAGCGTGGGAAGAGAAGCAGCTACAAAAGACTGAAATGACTTACCCTCACAGCAATTTTCAGTGACACGTGCTGAATAGTGACTAATGGAGGGTACAGACGACCTTCCTGTAAATTCTCCTCTGAAACTTGCTGAGCTATTACCTAGAAACAAAGCAGACATGTTTAACTCGAAATGCAGGTGCAGCTGTAGCTTAACTAGACAGCGACCTTAAGCAAAGAAACGGTTCCGCTTTGGCAAATCACACAGATACTGCTTAATCCACCTGGGCAGTGTTTTTTACAACCAGCCTTATCATTAGGAGTAGCTACACAAGAGCTAGAAATTTAGGGAGTTGTGCCCCTTTCTCGCTCAGACAGTAAGACTTATTCAAGTCTCAAATAAGTCCGTGACACACATAAACTCGCAAATAGTTCACCATGAGATATAAATTGCAGCCGTCAATTGTAGTTGGGCCACAGACTTCTAAAATTAAAGAAGCAGCTGTTATTCTGGCAGTTGTCACGTCATCCTGTGCAGAGAACAGAGCTGAAACCCGTAAGTGTAAAATGCCTTGAATAAAATTACTGGTGGCCGAGCAGGTTTGCTGTGTGTCCAGCTCACACATCTAGCCTGTATGAGATCCAAAAAGTAAGTATGGTCAACCACAGACCAAAGTCAAATAAAGGTAAGATTACCCAGGGTCTTTTAAAGCCCTGCTGGTCACTGCAGTCAGATTTAGAAATAGAAGGTCTAATGCTAAATTCTGGCTTGCTGGGACAGAAAAAACAGTGCTGCTAAAAAAAGTCTGTCCACTCCAGTTGAGGGCTGCAGTGGGTCTGTCATCTCAACCATACCATGTAACTAAAGAAATTCCTAGAATCATAGAATTGTTTAGGTTGGAGAAGACCTTTAAGATCATCAAGTCCAACCGTGAACCTAACACTGCCATCCCACCACTAAACCATGGCCCTAAGCACCTCGTCTGCCTCGTCTTTTAAATACCTCCAGGGATGGGGACTCAACCACTTCCCTGGGCAGCCCATTTCAATGCTTGACAGCCCTTTTGGTAAAGAAATCTTTCCTAATGTCCAACCTGAACCTGCCCTGGCACAACTTGAGGCCATTTCCGCTTGTCCTATCACTTGTTACCAGGCAGAAGAGACCAACACCCACCTGGCTACAGCCTCCTTTCAGGCAGTTGAAGAAGGTGATAAGGTATCCCCTCAGACTCCTCTTCTCCAGGCTAAACAACCCCAGTTCCCTCAGCCACTCCTCATAAGATTTGAACAGACCCCTCAACAGCTTCATTACTCTCCTCTGGACATGTTCCAAAATTATTTTGCTCTTTGCTTGATTTTTCACCAGACTGACCAGGGGAAGCAAGGAACAATACTGAAGTTCTGAGGCACATCTGAGAGAAGCCTCTCCTCTATGGCCTGAATATTCTTGTTTCATCTTCCTAGCAAGACTGGAAATGTTCTCTTGTCGTCTCCAGCAATGAACAGATTAGGAAAGCATAGCAAGCTGGAGAAGTTTTTTTTTTTTACTGTTTACTCATTGGCCGTATGAAAAACCTTCTATTCCTGTGAGGTGTGAGGACATTCTCTGCAGAGTGAGGAGAGACACTGCTTGCACTGTTTGCTTATGGGCTTTACTTCATGAACTTCATCTATTCCTGCAACAGATACCTTTTAAGAAGCAAAGGGTCCTGGGACTGCCTTTGTGTCTAATGATATTTCTGCTATCAGTAGCTAAAATTTGTTTGTTATATGGGGATCTGAAACAGAAAATAGCCTTTCAGGGTGAGCCAGATTGGGATTTGCTGAGCCTGAGAATCAGCTCTTGCCCATTCGCTAACCTGTCTTCTACTCTGTAATCTCTTCCTTGGACTTGAAGGTTTCATTTCTTTAACTGCTCTTGTGTACCTTCTAGAAAGCTGCTAGTTGAAACCAAATCTAAATACCTTCTAAGCAAACTAAGCACAAAATTCATATATTAAAAACGGTCTAACTTTATGTAGTGTTCAACAGCTACCTTCTCTAACATCCTCTACTACAATTCTCAAACCAAATCTTTAAAAAACATTAAGAGCCATTTACATCAGCAAAATCCAAATTTCAAATTCCTCTGTCTTGATTTGGAAGGATGTCTCTTGCCCTTTGAGCAGCTGGGAACAGGTAACAGTCACAAGGAAAGCAGGTTCTTTGTACAGTGCCAGCTCGTACTTCTTAAACCTCTTACAGTTTTAGAAACAGTTTCCATTGATACTTAGTGCTCTAGGCTTGCTCCCAGAGTGTATCCTTTGATATAGTTTCATCCAAAAGGAAACCAGTCCCTCTCTCCTCCCAAGGCCATGCCACATTGTGGACCAAGGTGGAGTATGTGCTCCAGAAGGCCATTCAGAATAGAAGAGCAATGCAGAGGCAACCTCAGTGTTCCCATCAGGAGAAATGATATGTTTTTGTGCAATTGCAGCTTAGATAACAAAAGGTGAGAACCAAACCACTGACTGATCCAGGAGTGCGGGGATAATACTGCGTGATGGGACCTGTGGGGGTACTCTGTGGATGGAAGGAAAACTCTGGTCTGGAAAGTGTCTGGTGGAGCCGTGTAGGACCCATCAAGAGGTTCTGAAAACACCAGGAAAATCCAGGAAACACTGTGAAATGAAACTGATAACACGGCCCAAAAAGAAAGCAAGAAGTGAACTTTTGAGGGAGCATACTAGGAAGATACTTGAAAGAGAGCACAAACTGCTTCCTACAGTTCCTCTTGCATGCGGGAAATAGGACCTCCTGTATGTTGCTTGCAAACAACTAGGACTGCATCAGAAGAGATGCCTGGCTGTCATCGATTCACCCTTCCTGGCAGAAGTAGGTAAGTAGTTTGAATTAAAGAGCAAACACCTTAGTAACTCCAGGCTCAGAGAGAAACAGTGCTCTCTTCTGCAATCTACCCAGCATGCTGGTAGGTGTAGTACGCTTTTCCATTCAGAGTGGAAATGCTAACATGAGATTATACTCTTGTTGAGTATAACGAGTAAAGGAAAATATTTGTTTACCTTTTAATCTGATATTGAGAAACACAGCAGAGATAAAAACCCACCAGGGGGAGCTAAGACAACATAAAATCTAGTTTTTGCTTTCCGTAATAGCAACTAGGTTATTTAAAAATGACACGCAGCCCTTCGATAAAACAAGACGTGCATCTGCATGTGTAAAGAGGGGCTTACAACATCAGATTTCTGCTGCTAACAGGCTCTGCAGGAAAGATGAAATCTGAAGAAATCAACAGCAAGTTGCTGTTAGTGTAATGCATCACTGGAAAAAAAAGGTTCTGGAGTAGAGTGCTTCTACTTTGTGACGGGGTTGATAGAAAGCAAACCACATAACATTTGGGCAGTGCTCGAAGTGGGAGAGGTAGCCAGCTTAACTTTATAGATGCCATGCTGTTCCTTCTGACATACTCCTGTAACAGCATTAAAAGCTATGCAAAAACACAGAGACAAGCATTTTCAAAGAGAACAAGGCCTTCTTCATGTGGTCTCTGAAAAACGCTCCTTGAGAACATCAGTTCAGTGGCAGGGGAAGAAATGCTGAATCCACATTTAAAAATATTAAGAAAATAAGAGGCGACAGAGAAAATGTAATTATGCCACTGTATAAATCCACAGTGTAACACCACTTTGAACAGAGTGCGTGTTTGCTCCCTCTACTTCAAAGAAGAATGGGATAGAATCACCCGGGCTTATGAAGAATAACAAGGATGATCAAAAGGTTATTTTTTTGTGCAAGGAGACAAAAAATAATAAAATAGACCTGGGAGGAAAAAAAGAGAAGACTGAAAGAAAATACAAAAGACAACTGAAGGTGAACATTTCTCATGGCACTATAGGGAACCCAAATCATCAGCCAGCAGGGAATCATAAGAGGAGAGCTGCTTTTTCCACAGAACTCATAATTAAATTGTGACACTAATTGCCAAAAGATGTTCAAATGTGTAAACATGTTTAAAAAGCCACTAGGCTCATTTATGAAAGAGAAATCCATACAGGGATCAAACTTCCAGCGCAGGAAGGCCATATAGTACAGGCTGCCAGAAGCTGAGAAGCCATTTCAGCAGACATCACTCTGGTTTTTCCCCTTATTTATCCTCTTTTCCTCAGCTTCTGCTACTGATTACTTTCACAGGAAGGTACTGAGCTGTTTGGCTCTTAGGTCCAACCCAGTATGGCTATTTTCATGTTTTAAATTTTAATTAATTCAAGTTTTTAATAGAGAAATTAGCTAAGCCTTATTGCAGAACCTAAATGAAAGGCAGCCAAGACAGGACAAATGGCATAAAGCAAGTGGGGGCATCTGGGCTTTTGGAGGATGTATTCTCTATAGCGAAAGGATTTAGTAGGATTATTTCTGGAATAACTTTAATGTAGGCCACACATGCCAAGAATATTTCATTAGTTCATAATTCTTTGTCCCTTTTGTTGTGTTTGGTAGGACTCAGAAGAATAGGTAATGTCCCTTGTCATCACAGAGCAATTGCCTGCAATTAAGAGGTATTACAGCTTACAGTACCTTAGATTTATCATCCAAAATCAAAGTTGCATTCTATTTTATTTGGCAGGAAGAAAAGAGCACTGAAAGTAGATTTTGTTGTAGTTACAATAAGCTATTTGTGACTTTTATCAGATTTAATTGGAAAGGTGGCAAAGCAAGACGACAGGAGGTGCAGGCATGCAGCCCGGGCTGCTTATTTTTTATGCTTTCTTTTTTCAGGTAAGCTACCACTACAATCTGAGAAGGACCCTCTGTCTAAAATGCACGGGTTTGGTGCTTTAAATTTTGCAGCATCTCGGTTGCTTCCATTTCAAACAGAGAAAACTAACCACTATTCTAAAACCCACATGAAACGATTTTGATTTTATCCTTCCATTAAAAAAAGCCAAGAAAACAAAACAAAAAGCACTTTTGCCTCTCCTTTGTACTCTAATTTCAGCTAAGGGCCTACGCAGCCCTCTCAGCCTTCGCACCCCTGACACCTCTTTGGGCAAAAGAGGTGAAATCCATCATCCGTCACCTTGCTCAGTAACCATCTGTAGCTCACCCAAGCCCTGGGCACGCAAGCAGGGGACCAGACATGACGGCTCTTAGCTCCAGCCTTAAGGCGAGTGCCTATCCATTGATCTTGCCGCCAATGCTGGCTTTCTATGCAAAAAAAAAAAAAAAAAAAAATTTCCACGTGTCAAACTTTTCTTCAGGCTTTTACTAGAGGATGGCAATTATGTAGCAAAACCTTTGCCAAAAAAAGAAGAGTCGGGAGAGAACCTCTACCTCAAGAGAGAATTTAAAAGCTTCCTCACAATTTCTGATACCATTTTACTTCCCTGACTGTTACGTTTCTTTGTTCGGTTAAGTTGCTTTGTTCAGAATAGATTTTCTTCTGGCTTAGTAGCCTGCCACTTGAAACACCGTTCAATCCACGTATGTGTCACCTTTCATCCATCAGCACTCTCTATATAGGAACCATTTCACCCAAACCAAAATGAACCAACTTCTAGAATGAAGTAAGACAACTGTTTAACACAGCAGTTTAGACCAGCTAGCGAGGGTCACTGTATCCAACTGAAATTACAGGGAAGGATTGAAAGGGAGGATATAATTATCCAAAGACTTATGAGATGGATCATTGCCCTCCTAAGATGGTTAAAGCCAGTGGAGACAGTCTGGGCTTTTTACTAATTTTAAAGATGGAAATTGTGAATATCTTTCTTATAGAGGGCAAGCTGCTGGCAAACTTTTTTAAAGATGCCATAATACGCACCTTAAAAAAAACCTTCAGAAGTCCAGCAAGAGCAGCGTGCAAGTGCTCACCCCTTAAGAATATCACATACTGCTGGTCATGGGATCACATTTCCTACCAGTTGCCATCGAGTGATAGTAAAGGGCCATTTTCTTCCCTTTAATCCACGAAGAGGACACAAGGAGCAAGAATCCTGGAATGCAATGGCCCTTAGAGAAGCTGCAAGTGTTGAGTCAGGCATTCAGGCATTCTCACTTCTGCTAATTGGGGCAACTTTTTTTCTTTTTTTTTTTTCTTTTTTTTTTTTTTTTTTAAACTGTTCCATAATAGTTGCTAATTGCATTGCTTTGAGGCTTCCTCTGTGTGCTACTTACATGACCCGGGTATTTCCAAGCGTGCTTACACAGCTTCTTTGAAGATTAGGACCCTGCATTTCCACGAAGTGGATTGTAATTTATATGAATTGGACTGGGTAGAAATTACCACTGAAGTGCATCTAGGTTAATTAGAGTTAACTCGGTAAACTAGGGCTAGCCTTCTTCCTTATATCCATACCCCTTAAAAAAACCCCAAAGCATCAGGCTTTTAATGGCTTTGCATGGACACGGTCAGAGCATCATGCAGTGCTTTGGGCTCTCTCTGAGCAGGATGAACTCAGAAGCACCTTCCTGGGAGCAGGGTAGCCAGGAGCTTGAGCCCCACTGGACATCACATCACTCAGTGGGGAAGGAAACATAAGAGGTTTCAGTTGAATATGCGGAAAAACTTCTTTACTTTGAGGGTGACAGAGCACTGGAACAGGCTGCCCAGGGGGGTTGTGGAGTCTCCTTCTCTGGAGATATTCAAAACCTGCCTGGATGAAGTCCTGTGCAACCTGCTCTGGGTGAACCTGCTTTAGCAGGGGGGTTGGACTGGATGATCTCCTGAGGTCCCTTCCAACCCCTGCCATTCTGGGATTCTGTGAAGCTGAGTCCTGTGAGGCTCATTACGTTGCTCTTGGTGCCAGTCAAGAGCAGACCCAAGAGAGGCAATGGCAGAGACAGGAACTCCAGCACAGGTCAGGAAGGGGGTGAGATTGAAAGGGTCAGAGGAAGGAGCGGTGAGGGTGCTGTGACACCATAGTAGATGAGAAGCAAAGATGCTGGACCCAGAAAAGCACAGAAAATTACAGTTTTCTTAAATGAGAAACAGCAACTGAAAGATCGACTTGTTTTTTTGTAAAAAAAAGAATAAAATTAAAAAATCGTGTTAAGCATTTGATTTCAACCAGTGCTGGTACTTTATGTTGTTTGAATAAGGGATTCTAAAATAACAACAGCCAGATTCTTCACCCATACGTATTGAAGATACAATCCTGTGCTTTTACAATGTCCTACTGTAAGACAGTGGATGTCAGATTTTGAACAATCACTGGAATTAGGTGGTGAATGACTCCTAGAACCAAAAGCATTTGCTCTCTGTTCATCTCTTGCCCACTGAGTGGAAATAAGGGAGGGGAGATCACATGTAGGATAACATCAGAAGAAAGATCATAAAAAATTGCTTGAAGAAAGAAAAGAACCAATGCAGAAAAGGGTAAGAAAAAAGATGGGAAGAATAACACAGCAATTGTGTCAAACTGTGGTGCAAGGACCCAGAAGGCAATGGAGCGCTTTTCACCAGCTGTTGACAAGGGAGGTCCACAAAAAAATGATGCCAACAGCTCTACTCAAAAATAGCAAAAAGCTAAAAACCTAAAAGAAATTCAAATATTTTTTGCAAGCAAAACACCCACAAAAGTCACCCCAAAGCTCCTGACAGAAAAATAACAGTTCCTTTCAATTTAAAATCAAACCTATGCGCACATGTGTGCAAACTGTACATATGTGCATTAATCTGTGAGAATACAGTACTGAAGTCTTTCTCCTTTTCCCGTGCCAACAGAAGGTGAAGTTTGTGTCAGAAGTATTAACTTTTTAAAAATAACTTGTTCAAATAGAATTTATAAAAAACAACATACCTTGCAAATAAAGACCTTATACAGAAAGCACTGTTTTTACAATTTAAAAGATAATGTTTAACTATTTTTGTTTAATTGTTCATTATTACCAAGCTACTAAATTAAGGAATTTAAATAATTTTTAATACAATACCTCAGCAGTTGTGAGGAACACATCCTCGCCAATATGTTTCAGTCCACATGAAATAACACCAAGGGCAACTCCTGGGAACACATAGGAATTGTTACCCTGTCCAGGATAGAGAGTTTGTCCGCTTGGAAGAGTGACAGGATCAAAAGGACTTCCACTGGCAAAAATGCCACGTCCCTAAATTGTAACAAGAAAGCCAAAGAAAGCACGTTAGTTGTGAGAACCCTGTTGAATTATTTCACACATCCCTTTAAATATCTGCCACTGTGGAAGCCAGGTTACATCTATTTACTGTCTCTTCTGAGAGGGCATTAGAGCTACTTAACGGAGTATGTCTCAAGAGCATCAGGATGCTGATCCTAGAGATCCCTGGCAATTCTCTGTGACCATCGGATGGTGGGGAGTAATGGCTACCTTGTTCAGGTAAGAGCTATCAGCATCGTTCAGAGGAGGAGAAGGTGAGAACCAGCACTCGTTATTCACTTTGTGCATCCATGCCAGAAGCGTACGTGGGCAGAAGGAATACACCTGGAGCTGTCAAACTCCAAGTGGACAATACTGTCATGGTAGCAACAGGTGATGCTGCTGAATTTTCTCCCAGTGGCAGATCATCCACAAAAATGACACTAAGGCCACTAAATGTTGCACTCCTTGGTGTGGCAATTTCTGAGGAGCTGTAGGGACAGGCAGAGCTCTCTGTTCCTCCCAGTCTCCCCTCTTCAGGCCCCTGCGCCCACTCCACAGCTCAACAGAATGACTGAGGTGCAAGCTCTGTCCCAGGGATGTCATCCCACAGTGCAACCTATAGCACAAGTTGGTGATGGGACCTCCTCTTCTGGGACCTTGTTGGCTCCCCTCATTGCAATGAAGTGAGCAGGGTGGGGACACCAACTCAGGCACCAGCATGTGATAAACTACTATCATGTCTCCCAGCAGATTTTTGGGTGGTGCCAAGTAGCACTGTTGCCACCAGGGCCCAGGCACCATGCACAGGCTGGTCCCAGCAGGCAGTATGGAAGAGCCAGCCTGGTTTGGGGAATTAAGAGAATTTAGCTGTACAGGCACAAGTTACACCATATCACTTGTCCTGAGGATAAGAGAACTGGCTCTAATTCATTTTATGTTTTAGTTCACATGGGACCTCTGAATCTCTTCCTAGGACCCAAACGCAGGCGTAGCTCCACGCTGGCAACACAGCACACATCAGGCAACTGTGGGGGCATACAGAAGCCTGTGGGGTGGCCCAGATGTGGCGACAGGGCTCATGTTGCTAATGGCTTAACATCAGCTAAGAGGAATATTAGGTCTGGTGTCATTCAGTAGCATGCACGTTCTGAGTTGTGATACCATTGGAGTACCAAGAGATGGGCTGTAAGGGAGCAGGAAGTCTGGCGGAGCCTCGCTGTTCCCCTGGGATGAGGAACACCTGGATGGGAGCAGATGCCGGCACCACCAAGTGCCATTCAAAGGTGGCAGAAGAGGCACCTCAGAGGCAACCTACCTGCAGCACTACTATCCAGGTTCTCCCCAGATCATTCCTAATACACAGGGAGAGAGAGAAAAGTAATTTCTACAGCAGGCAATGCAGTTTTGGACTAATGAGTGGGGTGACATTGCACAGGCTCTACGACTGCAGCCCAAAGGCTCCTGGCTCTTGCCTTGCTGGGGAGGGAGCACTCTCAAATTTAAGCAGTAAATTTAGGTGGAGAAGAAAAGCCAGCCTTTATTTATCCTAGCGCTGCTGAAGTGATAAATGTCACTCTTAAATGCTTCAGAGGCTCTTTGCATCAGAAATATCTACGACTATTTTAGAGAACTGGAAACAGGCATTTTAAAATATGCCACTGTTGCTATTCAGCTCCTCAGAAGAATATTCTGTTTGGTTTGGTGTCGTGCAGTATTATCATGGCTGGCTTATTATACGGTTTGGTGACAGATCAAATACTTCAGCGTGTCTTTTGCTCTGCCTACCAGATGTCATGACACACTATAACCAACCCTTCATGCAGGCCGCTTCCCTGGCTCTCGCCTCCCGCTGTAATTGTGTCCTGTGCAGTAGGGGACGGGCATGCTAAATTTGTCTTTTAAACACTGTGAAACTGTCATTCAAACTGCCCTGTATTTGACAAGAAATCCATACACAATCAGCTGTGAAATACATGCAGTCAAGTACGCACACATTTCGAATTCTAGACTGAATTACAAGATAACGTGTTTATCAGCACTTCTGTAATGCAAGTAATAAATAAGCAAGCACAGTTCTCTTAATTTTCACCAGTTTCCGTAACAGAAATCTTTGTAAAAGGAATCAGTTACCCCAGTTCTTAATAAAAAATTATTTTAAAGATTCTATGTCCTGTACTGACGTCTTTTCTTACCCAAAAGAGCATTTATAAAATCTCAGATGAAAAGCATGCCACCATGTGTATATATTACACAAAGTGGTACAGTTCAGAAACAGACACAAGGCTTTAATGATTGATGGCTACTGATGCTTTGGTTATAATAAAGACTGTGAGTCTTTCCTGACACCAATAAAAGCTAGTAAATGTTTTTACAAGGGTGCAAGCATGGATTGACTTCAGTGAAATTGCCTTATAAAATCTGGAAAATGTGTTACCCAATTTAACTCATTTTGCCAACACACAGAGACATGATTAGTACTTAGAATCATAGAATTGTTTAGGTTGGAAAAGACCTTTAAGATCATCAAGCCCAACTTGCTACTCCACTCTCTGTCTTCCTCCCATTTTAAATGCAATTTCAGATTTACTTTTCACTACGTACACTGGAGAGATGTTAATGTTTGGTTACCTCTGTATACTTGTAGCACTGCTCAGCAGTGCATTCTGCTTTGCTGGTAGGATTGCTGAGAGCAAAAATAATAGGACTTTTGTTTAAAGCAGCCATGTCCTGAAGGATTTGTTTAGTAAAAGCACCACCAATTGCAGCAACTCCTGAAGAAGAAAAACACACACATAAGAAGCAGACAAATGCAATCAGTTCAAGGTAAGACATGCATGTCACTCTTAAAAGAACAGAGCTCCTTTTACTGCATACCTCCCTCTTAAAAATGGAGTTCAACCTTTTTCCTAACATGTGGTTAAAATAAAGTTTTGTATAAAAGATTTTGCAACAGTGAAACTTTAGTATTATCCCTAAGATAAGGCAGAACATGTTCACCCCTGTACAGTTTGGTGAATTTCTCATTTCACATTTCTCAGGCCCTTTATATGAAATAGAAATGTGTCACCTAACTTGCAGGGAAGTCCAATAAGGAGTAGAAAGCTACAACTCTGTCTCCTAAAGTCTCATGCAACAGACTGCATAGCTTCTCCCAAATCCAGCATGTCAGATTTCAATTTTTTCTAACAGGACAAGTAAAGTCTCTGCCTTCTACAGCTCATCATTCTGTCATCTCCAGGCTCAGCTGATGAATAATCCCTAGTTTGAGTCTAAGACTTCCCTGACAGCAACAATTTTTTTTTTATTACATCCCTTTCCATCCCACCAGAGATGCTTTTCTATTCTCCATACTGTACTCACAACCAAAAAGGGGTGTGTGTGATGTTTTCAAGATGCTAATACACCCATATTTCTGCCTAACCTACAAGAGTTGGGAATTCAAGGTCCAGGTCCTTGCTCTCCACGCCTTCAGGGAAAAACAGATAAACAGGCCTTGGAATAAACCTAAGGATCTTTATGTCCAGGGAGGCCCCTATCACTTGACTTGTAGAGAAGGTAGCCTCCTCCTTGCTCAGAGCCCCCAGTGCCTGGCTCCTTGCATCCGAGTTTCAACAGCAGGAGAGAAGCTGTTCTTTCCTTGCTTGGGGGAGTAGGAACAGATTCAAACCTGGGCCAGGAGAGGGTCTCTCTTGGGTCAGTAGTACTCTAACCTCTCATCACTCATGCACAAATGAGCATCCCAACATTGCCCACTCTAAAAGGACAGGTTGGTGTCTGCCCCAGGAGAGCACAAGGTACTTGGAGGGAGCTAAAAGGGTTCCTCAACTTGCAGAGCTGGCTAGAAGGTCATACGTGTTCCAGGACTAACATCTCTTAAAGGTGTCTCAGAGTATTTTCTGACTGCTTCTACATGAAGCATGGTATCATCTCACAGAGATGTCTTCAAGCCCAACCTATGCCCTCAACAGGGAGAAGTGGGTGGCCCACTGAAATTCCATGAATTGTTTTTAGATTGAGGTTTCCTGAGAGGACTACTGAAAGCCCACACACCCTGCGACAGGCTCTTTAGGTGCTGTTTGGGTGCTTAACATGAGCCCAATAATGTCTAAGACCCATTTGGTTTTGTGTCTGGCCAAATTTCCTATATTGTAATCCCTTGGTAACAAAAGAGGCAACTCCTCAGTTGATGCAAATCAGTGACTTCTCTCAAAGTTTAAACATCTCTCGCTCAAATGTTTCTGTCACATAGTACTATTTTTTGCAAATCTGAGCTCTCTGTACTTCACCTTCTATCAATAGGCAAGGATGCTCAGATGCAAAAGCTCTGCTAGACCAGCTGGGCCACTGTATGTTTGATGAACAGTTAGGCCAGCCATGATTTTGACCCACTTGTGCAAGAGCCTGTTATACATCTTAGTTTCTGGTTAAGTCTGCAGTTGCCAAATGTTTAATGCATCTCCCCTGTGAGGAAAGGCTGAGAGAGTTGGGCTTCTTTAGCCTGAAGAAGAGAAGACTGAGAGGGGACATCATCAACACATACAAATATCTTAAGGGTGGATGTCACGAGGACGGAGCCAGACTCTTTCTCTTTGCAGTGGTGCCCAGCGACAGGACAAGGGGCAATGGGCACAAACTGAAACATAAGAGGTTTCAGTTGAATATGAGGAAAAAATTCTTTACTTTGAGGGTGACAGAGCACTGGAACAGGCTGCCCAGGGGGGTTGTGGAGTCTCCTTCTCTGGAGATATTCAAAGTCCATGTGGATGATGTCCTGTGCAACCTGCTCTGGGTGAACCTGCTTTAGCAGAGGGGTTGGACTAGAAGATCTCCCGAGGTCCCTTCCAACCCTTGCCATTCTGTGATTCTAAAACTGCTTCTGGACAGCCAATTGTAAGAATGACAAATATCTTCAGGTATAAAGTTAAATCATAATGCTCTGAACAATCTCACTTGCTATTGCTTTTTTGGTTTTCATTTTAAAATTCCAATTTCTTATATTTGGTCAAGCTAAACTGAAGCTTCTTGTGCCAAGGCAGGCAATGAAATGCGTATGAGGATTCGCTGAGACAGAGTTAAGTAAAACATTGGGAGGAGGAGTATCAATATTTATCCCCATAACTCCTGCTGCCCAGGGGAAGATACGGAATGACTAGTCCTCCAAACTGAAAAAAACCCATTAATTTTCATTCCTGTTTCTGTTGGAAGACCCTTCATTATAAGGTATGGATAGGAGAAAATGACCTTGAAGGAAAGCGCCACATAGATTTATATATAAAAATGACACACTAAGCATCCATATTTTCTGACAGCAAACATTCCCAAAGCATCCACACACCTTTATCTAGATAAATATCACAGATCATTCAATCTATTCCTCTGTTCCACTAGCTTTTTCAGCTTTGTATTCTACTAAATAAATGCTCTAGACTACTTGGTCTCTGTCTTGCAGTCGTATCTTTATGGAGCATAGGAAAAGATAAGCTTTATTTACCTCATTTATGATCATTGTCAAAAGCAGATTTTACTGAACAAGGACCATGTGGTCTAGGCATAGTCAAAAACGTAGCTCTTAAAATGTAGACTAATTTTCACTGAGGGATTTCAGATTTTCCAGCATCTGATGAATGATTTTACTAGCAGATATAGGTGAATTTTCAAGTCTTATATATTAAAAAAATTATTTAAGAACATTTGCAGTTCACTCCTGAAACTGTGACTGAAATATAATAACCAAACTGCAGAGAGCTGAGCAATCCTTTACCGAGATCCCAAATCCTGCAGCTTTTATAAAAGAAAAAGTCTTTGTAAAATCTGTGGTTTGGTCTGCACAAAGGACTGGTGGCTAAGGACCTAAATATGAGGGAAGAGCAGGTTCAGCTACGGCATGCTCATATTTGCACAGCTTTACATGCGCTTAGCTCAGTTTTCTCAGTCTAAGTTTGAGGTTTTTTATTTGTATTAAGCCATCCACATCAAATCAGAAGTAATTTGGGAAGGCGATAAGGTTCTCCATCAGATGTTTAAACCAACTTGGATTATTCCCCCTGTAAAATGGATGGCTTGGAGTGAAAGCAATGTTACATGCTTGGATAGTTACTATTTGTTCAGTTGCTTAATAGAGTCCATTATGCACCTAGTGTTTTCTAAAAACACACAAAGGTAAACTCTGTTCAGGGGAACCTGATCTTGTTCTTCAGACAAAGCTACAGCCCCATTTTTTTCCAACAAAGAATAAGGTCATTGCTTTAAAGTAAAAGAAATTACCTATTAGCACGGATGGTTTTATATCTCTAACAATATCTTCTAGATTTTTCATTTCACTGTGTTCATGGGCAAAACGCTGTTTCTCGGATGTTAACGAGGCACGGCCCTGAGTAAAGAAAAAAAGAAAGAGATCTTCATTATAAGTTTAATGGAAACCAATATCCTGGGATCATCAGTTTACAAAGTATCTGGTTTAACATGCCCTGTTTTCATTTCTACTTCTGCGTCTATCACCAAATACCATATTAGACAAAGTTACACTGTGTACAGCTAACACGCTTAGGATAATTTAGGACTAATCTATTTCTCTAAGAAGTAGGTAAATTAAATCCAATATTTTTACTTTAAATTCATAACAGCTGTAAAACACCACTGTATATAACGATTATATGAAAGCATCATTAATTTCTTCTCTGAAGCATTCTTTAAAGCTGTTTTTACATTTGGTCAAATGCTTAAGGTTACTAATGATAAAGCATAAATATATTTATATAACAAACAGTACAGGTGCGCCAGGGCAGGGGGGGATTCATAACTTAGCAAAACAAAAATTGTTTCTCCTAGCTTTTTCAGCTTTGCTCTTATCTAAAAGTATAGAGACTATATGGGGGGAGTAAAGAGACTATAGGGAAGCCTGTATTTTGCTCCACTTTTTTCACATTTAAGTCATCCATTCTTAAGGATGGAATAAAAATAATTCTAACCAGGTGCCTGGTGCACTGTTTTTGCATTAACAAAATTGACTCAGCTGTGAAATAACTTCCACCCTGATCTATACTGGCAATTTCCACCCATCGATGCCCAATAAGGTTTCCAAATGGAACATGATAGATGCAGGAAAAAGGGCTAAGGAGTATCATTGACATTGACTGGGCTGCAAACAGGATTTGAGTTCAGTGTATATAACATGGACTGGCGGGCAAGTAGGGGCCAAAATTTGTGATAATTATATTAGTTGCCTAGATACACGGACCTCTGTCTGTACACAGGCATCTGAAAATTTCAGCAGAGTTTAAAATGCATACACCTCCACCTCTCATTTTATTCTCTTGTCTGCAGAAAACATCACTGCAAAGGCACTTTTCAAACAGATCTGGAAGACAGTGCCAGCCCCTCAAACATCTCGCAATTTCAGACAGCAAGAAGCGGATGATATATAGGGAAGTACACAAGGAAAACGGAACGCTAAATGTAATTTTGACCAAATACCCAGAACAGATATATATCATCTCCCCAGCCACATGTTTTGCAACTGATAAGATGAAAGTTTCCTTAATCTTAGCAAGTTAATTAAGACTATACTGAAGTACTGGAACATAATTCATTTAATGATTCCACCAGAGTCTATGAATTTGACAATTTTGGCTGAATTTAGGACTGCATATACTACCAGATCCAAGCCAGGATTAGTTTTTTAATAGCATTTTTTCTTAATTTTAACAAAACCGAGAGATTCGATGCCACATTTCAGACCACGATTCTGCGATGTGGCAACATGTGGCTGTGCCAGTCCCATCACTGAGGCTCCTCTGCTGGTCCTCGGACGGCCACCGCAAGAGCTGGTAGGCAGGAGGGAATGCCACTTTTCATTTCCAGCTGCACAAAAAGCGTTTCCATCCCGAGGGTGCCACAGGAAGCCGCGGAAGGCTGTTATGTGGTCGGGGCTGACTGAGCCGCTCTGCCTCCCAGGACGCCAGCTTCTCTTGGCTCACCCGTGACTCCGAGGCATTTCCAGAGATTTCTCCTCTTCTACAGGTTTTTTTACATGACCAAAATACAGAGCTTTTTAAATTAAGAAGGTTATGTCTGGATGTGCTTATATGGGTCTTAAGTGTTCTCCTAGAGTGATTAGCACGGAAACACTGCGACAGGGGCACCTGGTTTCCTTTGCGGGTAAAATGCGAAAGTCTCAGCCTTGGGAGAATGCCGCAATATGAACAATTTTTGGCATATTCATGCTCAAATCATTCCACCATCAATGCACATTTTGAAGTCTGCCATTTCTCAGCACCCCAGCAGATGTCCCCACAGTCTACACACACGGTTTAGATGCATCTCATTTTAAAGCAGGAATTTTCCTTAACATTTTCTGGGGAAAAATATGAAGTTTTCTTTTTAGTCACCAAAGAAAAAAAATGCATTTATGACTTCCAGGCGAAAGACTTGTTGCTAGAAATAACTCAAAATAACTCAAAAAATAAAAGCCACTTTTCATTCTAATCAGCTGGTTGGCTGAAATAAAAATGCTTGACAGAGCCTGACTTGGAGGCAGGTTTCCTGGGAAGCCAGGAATGGGTGCTATGGGCGACCATCCAATCCCATGCTGCTTCTTCAGTTCGTTCCTTAATAGCTTATCAGGCTGCTGTTGAGGAAGCCAGTTTTCAATCTGGGCTTAAAATCCAGCCTTCAGGAGACTGCCCTGGGCTACCAAGAAAAAAGGAATCATCTCTAAGAGCTATGCCCAGCTCACTCTTCAGGCTGTGGCAGGCTGGTAGCTCTGAGCACCTCCAGGATCTGCAGATCAGGGCAGATCTCTCGGAAAAGGTGTTGCCATTTTTTTCCCACAATGCATAACAGCTAAGAGGCCAGGCTGACATCTTAGTGGAGAAAAGTGTTGATATTCTTACATTTTCATTTTTAATCAAAATGAGTAAACAAAATCCTCCATGAAACAGTTTGACACTTGATTGGCTTTCAACGTTGGCTTCAACATTTTAAAATTAAGGTAATGGCAGAGCAGTTAAAATACTTGATGCATCAGCAAGGATTCAAAGCCCCATTTCCTACTGACATTGATGATCATCTCTCATTTCATTAGCTACAAAGGAGTACTCAAACAGTAAACTGGATGTGATCCACTGCAACCCTTTCTGGGCCACTGGCTAGTGTGACTAGTGCTAGCCAGATGGGTCAGCTTAGGTCAGCTTCATTTCTGCCCTATCTTAATTCCTATCTGCCCTTAATTTCACATAGGGCATTCTACTGTTTAAAAAAAAAAAAAAAAAGAAAAAAAAAAACCCACCACCAAAAAACCAACCCCCAAACAATTTTAAATGTATTTATTTAGCTTTGGTCTGAATTAGCTTGATCCCATTAGTCAGAATGAATCATGTTTCCAAGTAAATATTTTTCTAGTATATTAACTAAGAATGAAATATTAAATTCTGTGGCTTAGCAAAAATAACAACAGCTATGTACATAGAGATTTTTACTTGGAAAATGCTTGTAAAATAAATTCTATGGTTAGGGTTTTTTTTTTTAATATATATTTTTAAATAGATTATCAGAAATGTGTTTTATTTGTTAATTCAGTGATCCTAAAGGAGCTAACATAACACGTCCCTAAAAACTGTGTCCAAGATTTCAAGAACCAGCCAGTTGATTTGGTTTCAAAACTCCAATAATTTAGAGGACAGTACTTCAGATGGTACTTTTTCTCCCCAAATTGGCAAATTCTTAAGTTCTGCCCTCTGCAAAGTAGAAAGGTGGCAGCAAGAGCATGGCCAGCTTTCCTCCGTGCCCTGCCAACGGGGCAAGCAATGACTTGCAGGAAGGAAGAACAATTCAGTTTTGTGCATGCTTAACCTCAAAGTAAGGGGTTGCCAGTCCATTTAGTACAAGCTTCTAGACATCTGCCCCTGAATGCCTGTAGCTGGAATAAGAAATCACAGGGTTTTTGTCAGTCAGCAGAGGGAAGAGGATGGAGCCAAAATGCAGAAGGCTCAATTCTGGGTTTGTGTGGTTTTCTGTCTTGTTTCCCTCCTGACACCGGAGAGACGCAAAGCGGATGGACCTGTCAGTGCAGAGCTGCACTGTCTAAAAGATCTCGCAGAAGCGCAGAGGCCATCTTCTGACATTCCCATTTCCAGCCCTGGCTTTGCTAGCTTTTGTACCCTGGCTATCCGCTGCTAGGAAATGGGCTGTAGAGGATCAACGCAAGGCATCATAAATCAGAAACTGCTCTGGTCTGCTTGCGCCTCCATAATCCCAAGATACTAACATGGCACACAGCACACTGATATTCCCCTTCTTTTAACAGGAAAAGGAAAAATTTAAAATACTCTGTACTAAGAAAGAATGTGAATGAGCTCTGGGGTTCTGTGCATAAAGCTCTGAGTCTTTTAAGTAGAAACACCATCTTCACTCACATTCGTCTCCTAAGTCCACTGTCTTGCTCTTTTAGCATTATTAAAAATTCATTCGTTCAATGAAAAGGGCTCAGAAAAATCAGCCATCTAAGGATGTGCCCCTTTCAGTACGCCAAGCCTCAATACAGTCTCACTGCTTCACTGAAGGACTTCAGTGCTTGCTACACAGGGGAGGAATTTTTCCAGGGGTTCCTACCAAAGGATGTTATTGCACCGCTGTTCAAATAGCAGTATGAAGGCTCATCTAGGCTGGACAGCAGCTGTCTTAAGTTGTAATATGTTTTCTATATTGTATAACAGGCATCTTTGCTACATCAAGTGACACTCCCTAAATCCCAAAAGAAAGTCTTTCACACTGAAATCCACAGATGAAATGACAGACTTGACTTGATTCCTGTGCAGGTATTCAGAGGGAAAGACGCAAACTCACAAACACTTTCAATAGAAGGAGGAAGGTAAAGTTAGGAAAAAAAGGCTATATGTCCTTCTTGGTTTAACTTCCCAAATATATTGAGCATTCCCAGAAATAAATAAAGCATCAAAATTTCATTGCATAACTTTTTGTAATGCTATGTATTATTATATTATTTCCTTATCTTTTACAGATATGTAATTTGCTAGGGGCATTAAAATAAGTTTCCTTGAATTAAATAAATAAAAATCAAACTACATACTAAAGTACCACGAAGACAACCATAGCATCTTTAATGCATACTCAGGCTTCCTGAATAAACTGTACAACACAGCTTCACTAGAATGCTGAAGGTCAAGAATATTAAAAACACTCAAAAATATTCATAAACCTGAAGTCCAAAGACTGAGAGAAAATGTCAGAAATTACGTTGGAGGAGAAAAGTATTGCCTCCATCACAGTATCATTTTGTACCAAGAAACCTATGGGATATTTTGGATTTGAACAAAAGAGAACAAAGCAACTTGAAAACAGATATGTTGCTAT